AAGTGTTACACACAGCAGCAATGGCTCTCTCCTACCCTGTCAGATAGCTTCACTCCTCAAAACACAAATGATTGTCTCAGTTTTCTGTGTCTCCGCTCAGCAGCATGAGGAAACCTATGCACTGCGGTGAGGATTTACAAACCTGTGGGTGCCTACGTGTAGCTACTGATACCGCCACGTTGCTGAGCAATTCCTGATGGTGGTGAAGAGTAACAGCCCTGGGCCAGGTACTACGTACCTGGGATCATGAGAGGTTGGAGCAGGAAAACCACGAAGCCAAGGCTAGCCTGAGCTACGGAGCTAGTTTGAGGCTACAGCAGTACTTATATGTATTTGTGTGTTCATGCAGAGCATTTCAGTATTTTTAAATGATAATACATACAGTTTGATACTCTGACTTTTTCACAGATCAATATAACAGATTTAAGTGTGTGACTTAATCCAAAATCTACATAAAGAGATCTTCCAGGAGCTGGAGAGATAGTTCAATAGCTGTTCTTGTAGCGAGCCTGGGTTCAGTTCTCAGCACCCACAAGGCAGCTCGTAACCATCCATATCTCTAATTTCAGGGCATCCAGTGTCCTCTTCTGGTCTCCTAGAGAATGAGGCATGCGTGTGGTACACCACGAGCATACACTCAGGCAAACGTTCGTACATAAAAATGCATTCTTTAAAAATCTTTAAAAGAGCTTTTAAATTATTTTCAAACTTTCAAAATATCTTAAACATTGATCATTGAATTGAAACCACAGCAATGAGCATTTTGACAGTTCGCAATATGCTGCTATTACAACCGTGTATAATAAATAACCCCACAGGGGAGATAAGTTCTTGTCTTTAGAACAAAGAATCTGGCTCCATACATCTCTAATGTTCAAGCACTGATGACTGAGCCCAGCTCCAGACTCCAGCCTGAGGTCTTTCCCATGCTGGACAGAGGGAAAACAATGGCTGTGAATGTCTGTAATAGCATCATCTTTGGTCTGTCCAATCCCAAGTGGCCAAATAGCATCCTAACAACCGTTACTCAGTCTTAGCTCCCAGACTATGGCTTTGGAATTCCTACATCCTTTGTTAGGAGCTGTTTTTTTCTGCCAGCCTGGTCCCACAGCTGCACTATCCCCAAATAACACACAGAGACTCTGTATTAGATATAAAGGTGTTGGCCTATTACTAGCATTTCTTATTGATGAGCTCCGTCTTGCCAGGCAGAAAAGCATAATCAATACGTATTGAATTCCAATACGTACTGTATAGCTTACCCTTTGGCACCAGGCAGACAAACACCGTTATGATGAGCAGATCCCTGGTGGAGAAACGAGAGAAAGGGAGACAGGACAGTTCATGAGCTGTGGGAAGAGACGGAACGGAAGACATGATGGCGGCAAGGCGTAGGTTGATGCAGGAGGCCTTCCAGCCACCTGGGGATGTGGTGACATCCAGGCCCGGCCCAGAATCCTGCCAAGGGCCATGTTTGGGTCCATGGCCCTATAGCAGCCAGGGTCTGTGTTGGTGTTCGAGGCTCCTGTTGCCATCAAAGACCATGGATACCCAAAGTCTGGGGCCTTGTTAGCGCCTGGTGGCCAAGCTGCCATGCTGAGCCAAGTGGCCTGAACTGCCACCAGGGACAACGATGACATCCAGACTCAGCTGCTGCCAAGGACCATGTCTAGGTTTGTGATCTTATTGTGGCTGGGGTCTGTGTTGAAGCCCGAGGACCATGTTGCTCACACAGAAGCCCAGGGTTGGGGCTGCAACCGGAGGCCTTAGTGGTGTCCAGGGCCATCCTGATCTGAGTAGCCAGTGCTTCTTCTCAGAGCCAGGATGCTGTCCAGGCCTGAGTTGTTGCCATGGCCATGTCTGGGTCCAGGGTCCAGCTGCAGCTGGGGTCTGTGTTGATGTCTGTGGCCTGTGGCATGGGGTGGAAGGCATAGGAACCATGGCAAAATCAGAAAGCCATGCTGAGCCGGTCTTGCCCTTCACTGGCCTGGGAACGCTGGCCCTGCCTCTTACTGGACACTGCTGCAAGAGACATGGCTCCACCCCTGACCACCGGCATTGAAAACTGACCCTGCTAGCCTGGGCCTCGGGGAGCTGCTCTGCCCCTCCCCTGAGGCAGAAGGCCCCAGTGGTCTACACTGACAGCTCAGCTACCACCCAGACCCGCAGCCGGGCCTTGGGTTGACCCACCCTAACATTTACCTCCATCCAGGACCTGCTGGAGCTCGTGAAGGGTCTGGTCCTAAGGAAGGGTATCTGCAGGATCTCCATGACTCAGGGCAGCCTCGGGATACCCAAGAGGATCCAGTGACGATGGTATACCATACCAGAAATCAGACACCTTGAACTAAACCAGTGACTCACTGATCTGAGGGGCCTGGGAGGTGTCGCAGAATTAGGTTGTATGAATGTGAAATTCCCAAAGAATCAATCAAGAAACTATGTTAAATTAAAAAAAAAAAATACATATATATGGAAGTGGGTCCATGTTCAAAGACTGGAAAAGGTAATATCATTTAAATGTTTTTTCTACTCAAAGTGGTATACAAATTCAATTCAGTATCTTTCAAATGATGCGTGTAACTGTTCACGTGACTGGAACAACAAAACCGAGGTCAATGACGTGGCGAATGTGTTGGTAAGCGTAGTGTAACCATTCCACACTGAACGCATACTTCCAAGTTTGCATCACACCTCATAAATACACAGAATTGTGGTTTGTCTTTTTCAGCTAAAAATGCAGGGCCAGGCCAGAGAGGTGGCTCAGCAGTCAGGAGTACTTGATGCTCTTCCATGGGACACAAGTTCAGTTCCCAGCATCCACATCAGGCATCCCCCAAACACCCTTAACTCAGGTTCTAGGGAACACCATCCACCCCTCTCATGGGTTTTGAGGGCCCATGCATGTGACATACAACTCAGATACAGAAATAAAAACAAAAGGGAAAAATGTTTTTTTTTTTTTTGTTTTGTTTTGTTTTTTGTTTTTTTTTTTTTTTTTTAATAGGATTTCTCTGTGTAGCCTTGGCTGTATTGGAAGACCCAGCTGGCCTTTTGGCCTTTGTAGACCGGGCTGGCCTTGAATTCAGAGATCCACCAGCCTGTGCCTCACCCATGTGAAGATTTTAAAGCCATACCTAGAAAATAAATGATAAGTGCACACTTAAATAACTTAAATAAGTGCACACTTAAATAACACATGTGCGTCACCACGTTTTACCATAAACCCTCAAAGCGACTGAAGTCAAAGGGTCTGTGATTTTGTAAATTAGAGAGCTGGTGCCACTTTGCCCCCCCCCAGAAAGTTGTACCCACTTGCGAGCATAAGAAAGTGCCCTCTGGTGAACCCTTGCCAACAGTGCCCGCTGCGTAGTGCAGCTTTAACTGGAAATTTTTGTAGGTGTGTAAATAAGCAGGATTTACTCTCCTATATTTGAGAGCCAACTAATGTCCAATTCTTGACTATTTCATCCTTGCCACTTGAACATTTTCCCATTGTTCCCTTTGATTAGATAATATCATCGAACTTCAGTTCTCTCTACACCGGGATAACTAAAATCAACTTTGGAGTATGAAACAAATACAGATTATATTTATTTGGTTTTTTTTGTTTTTTGTTTGTTTGTTTGTTTGTTTGTCCGACCACTACATTTTGCCAGACACATTATTTTTTTTTTTTTATGAATGTGTCTGTCTTTTAAGGTTTCTCTATTTGGTATTACAGCTAGCCAGGCTGTCTGTCCTTCCAAGTAGGTATCAGTTTGCCTGTAACTATCTCAAGTACTTTCCTCGTTTCTCTTAAACGATTATTTATTTGATGCTCCCAGTTTAACTGTTTATGTACCCAACTATATTTTGCTAAAAGCCTCTCAGGCTATTATCAATTACTAAATAATCTATCTGTTACTAAATTGGAAAGGCAGCTTATTTACAGCTTTTCCAGGGTTAACTCATAGCTCTGTGTTTAGTGAGGCTGCAAACATAACCAGTCTCTCTCTCTCTCTCTCTCTCTCTCTCTCTCTCTCTCTCTGGGTTATATCCAGAAGATGAGAGTCTGGTTAATAGCTCTCCTCGTTGTCCAAGTTTCAACTGAGTAAAGTACACGACCTGTACCACGGGTCCAGCCCTACAGGCTGGAAGTGAACATGTTTTTGTCATTCCTCCTCATATCATCTATACTGTCCAAACTTCTAACAATAACAACGGTATATGAAGAGAGACTATGGAAACTAGGCTTAACATTTAATAATTGCAATATGTTTAAAGTAAATATTAGTTCACACTGATATGAGTAAATATTTAACTGATAAGTAACAAATGGGAAGAAGGGACAATTCTTGTTTCAGAAGAATTCCCACTAATAAATGTAAAAGAAAAGGGGGAAACAAAATAATCACCGTTTAAACACCACAGTCATAAGTGCTGTAGGCAGCTGAGAGAAGCTAAAATTGGTAGTCAAAGTCCGCTGAGCCATGACATGACGTCGTTGCATGGCTTCGAAGGATCTCCCCAAATAGTACGTAGAGTCTGATATTATCTTCAATTTCAGGCATCCCCTAGGTGTGTCGTAATGTATGGGATGGGCATTAGGAAAGGCCACTACGTGGATTGTCAGATTCCTTCTGGCCATTGCGCTAACCCCTAAGAAAGTGAACACAAAAACAGACGTAATTCAGAACTTCCACCCTGCCTCAGTCTTTAAAAAAAAAAGAAAAAACGCCATGCACCCGGCAAGAAATAATAATTATAATGACATTTATCATAGCCTCTTCACTCCTCCGAGCTCGTTTCCCTTATGCATTGCTCTTTGCTCGAGAGATAAAGTTCCAGAGCCTTCTAGAGGTTGCACACATATGAGAGGCTCATCGAAGCCGCACCTTCCCCTTTACATCAGACTCCGCCCTCATCGCCCTTGTGGCCTTGCGGCGCATCCTCCTTCGGGGACCGGCTGCACCCTCCCCCCGGGCCCGCCCCGTAGGGCGTGGTCTCTCCGGGAGGCTGCGCACTAGGACCCTCCGCGGTCCCACCTGCAGTTCCCGGTCTGGAATTGGCTGGCTGCTCCCTGCGGACGCTTGGCTCCGGCTTTGGCCCTCCGCAGCACCATGGGGCTGGCGCCGCGCACCGTGGAACTGTTCTACGACGTCCTGTCCCCCTACTCCTGGCTGGGATTTGAGGTGACACGGGGAAGCCGCCCGGGCTGCACGGCCCGTGGGGCGAGTGCGCAGCGGGGCACCGGGCTGCAGAAATTGCTGGTGGTGCCCTCAGGGTCGGGGCGAGCAAGCACAGGCTGTTCCCGGCCGAAGTTCACTTTGTGCCTTTAGACAGACTGTGTCTGTAAGCGGGGCCCTGGTTCCCTGAGGTCAAACATTCCCTTCTCGCCGGCCCTAGGACAAACGGAGGCAACCCCAAGGGCGCAAGTCGAGTTGGGTGGGGGTGGGGGTGCTCTACAAAAGTGGTGTGCAGCCTTCCTAACGCTGCGACCCTTTAATGCGGTTCCTCCTGGAAGCATTTCCATTGCTTCTCTGTGACTGTAATTTTGCCACTGTTACCAGTCATGATACAAATATCTGTATGCAGGACATCGGATCTGCGACTCCTGTGAAAGGGTCCTTTGACCTCCTCACCACCCCACGGGTTGAGAAGCCCTGCTCTTCGGGGTGGAAACCACACACTAGAAAAGGGTATCTGTTGGAAAGAACTGAGGGTTTTGTCCTTCTAAACCAAGCAGCTCAGTGTGGAGTAGGCATCCCTGCTCTGCACTTGGCGCCAGGAGACAGCCCTGTAGTCAGGCCGGCAGCTTGAGCCTCCGGATGCCACACGGGCTCCCTTTCTAATCTCTGCACCGGTAGATCCTATGCAGGTACCGACACCTCTGGAACATCAGGCTGCAGCTGCGTCCTACTCTCATCGCCGGGATCATGAAAGACAGCGGTGAGCAGGGGAGAAGCCCTCCCAGCTGGGCAAGGAGGGCTATTTCTGTGGCCTGGGGTGGGGGGCCTGTCCTACACTGAGTGTGCAGACTTCAGAGTGTCTGACTCTTTTCCACTACCAGGGAACAAGCCGCCAGCCATGGTCCCCAGGAAAGGCCAGTACATGAGCAAAGATATTGCTCTCCTGAGGCAACACTTCCAGGTTCCCATCTACGTGCCCAAGGATTTCTTCGGTGATATTCTTAAGAAAGGTGAGGGGGGCTATGGAGAGATGGCTCGGCCGTTTAAGAGCGCTGGCTGCTGCTCTTCCAGAGGACCCGATTTGATTCCCAGCACCCACCCGGTGTCTCTCAACTCTCTAGAACTCTAGTGCCAGAGGAAATAGAAACAAAATAAGTAAGTAAAAGAGGCTGGCAAATCTAGCGAAGAACAGAACAGCTCCCCAGGAATGGGGGAGGGGGCAGAAATTAGGGCTGAGCATCCGTAATGAGAGGCTGGTATTAAAGACTGCCGGGGATTGAGCCTGGGGTCCGGGGTCAGGAATGGTGTCAGAAGTAAGGACGAGCTGGCCCTCTATCCGGACACAAGGAATAGGAATCTTAGCTCTGTGTGCCTACACCCCACAGGGAGTGTAAATGCCATGCGCTTCCTCACGGCTGTGAGCATGGAGCAACCAGAGATGCTGGAGGAGGTGTCCAGACAGCTATGGATGCGTGGTTGGTCTCGAGTAAGGGCTGGGCCCCGAACCCTGGAGGGAAGGAACTGGTAGCTAGATGGCATTCTGACCCTTCCCAGGGCAGTTTCCAGAGAGAGGACCCTGCTGTTACACCCTCCGTGTGCTATCTCCTCCCTGCTGAGTGCTCTCTTTTCCTTAGGATGAAGACATCGCAGACTCCCAGAGCATCCTGGCTGTGAGTGTCTGAACTGGACTCCCGTGCCCTGCCTGTAATGTTGCAGGGAATCTGAGGACGTTAAAGGTTCTCAGTGACTTAGAAAACAAAGTCTGTGTCTAGGGGAGCAAAATCCTGCGAAGTTGGAACTAAGGAGATCCTTCCAAGAATGTTCCATTGTTGTAGCTGAGCTGTAGAGTGCGTGCTTAATCTGCCTGAGGCCCGAATTCAGTCCCTGAGAATAATAAAACAGTATTGTCTACTGTGGACAGTACTCAGATAAAACGAAATTGATGAAAGAAATAAAAACACAGTCAGTGCGAAAGAGAGGACCAGTGTGGGAACCCCAGATGGGGAAGGGTGGAGCCTTCCATCCACAAGCATCCAGAGACTCCGGACACAAACTTCACTAACATATGCCTGCTACCATGCAGGAGACTTTACACTGTCTAACTGGCAAGTGAAAATTAAACAGATGCTCGGTGAGAAATAAATGGAAAGTGCTCAAAACATGGAGATGCATGCCAGACAGAGACAGGGCTTTGAAAGCCAGACATTCTTTGCAACCAAAGTCAAGGAACTCAAAAAAATGATCTTTTCCTCCTGTATGTGGATGGTACTTGATGCTTATTCTCTTACTACGGGAGACATCAAATCACTCCTGAGCTAGATACGCAAAGAATGGCTAGTTTATCCTCTAGTGTCTATATCTAGTTCCTTAAAAAAAAAAAAAAAAAAAAAATAGTTCCTAAAAAAAAAAAAAGTGTGTACGCATAATTTTGGCCTGCTTTTACTTAATATTTAGCAAATCTTTCTCTCAGGGGTTTATCCTTTCCCCTGTTTACTCAACAACTCTCTCGTTTAACTACCAGAGTGGATTCTAGGTCAAGTTGTACCTTTTCTACCTGGGCTGTACACGGACATCACCAGGACTGCCTGGTGTCTCCCCAGAAAGACTGCCGTCATCATCATCTATGGAATGGCCTTCACTCTGGGACTTTAAAAAGCTCCCCAGGAGATTCCGGGTTGAAATCCACTAGCAATAAATTTTAAGAAGCATCCTAATCAGGCATCCTCTTACTGTCTGGGAGCCAAGCAGGTAGCTGTGGCGATGACTACATTCCAAGCATCTTCAGGACATTCCGCGGGACTCAGAACCCAGCCTGAGACTGTTAGGAATTCCAAGGCATAGGGAAAAAAAGCACTCTGGACTTGAATTCCAGGCATATGGCATCTAATTCTGCTACTGACAAACTCTGTGCCTCTAAGCAAGTAACACACGGCCATTGACTACTGTACCATAGACTAGAGGAGAGGAGCTAGCTGCTTCCTGTGATGTCCTCTGGTGCTGTCTCTGTGGCTGTGACATCCTTTGCCCTTCTTTACCATTACCACTTATTTCAACACTTTGGGGAAAGGAGACAATTTGTCTTGACTAGGATAAATACCGTTACTGGCAGTCGGGCAAAGGTCTTTCCAGGAAAACGTGAGGTCAGAGAAAGACAAGAATTGCAGCTTCTCCCGCCGCCACCACGCAGACACAAACCGTACGCTCTTGCTCATCTCCCCAGGCTGCAGAGAAGGCAGGAATGTCCACAGAGCAAGCCCAAAGCTTTCTGGAGAAAATGACCACAGCACAGGTGAAGGACAAGCTCAAAGAGACCACGGAGGCAGCCTGCAATTACGGGGTGAGCAAACTCCATGTGTATCCCCAGGCACAGCCCCAAGGTAGCGAAGGAATGTCTCCATGGCTGCCCACGCTCCTGTTCAACCACCTTCTCCCCAGCGTGAGCCCTCCCCTAGAGCACCTCATCTGCTCCCTCCTTCCCCTAAGCCTAGTCAAGGAAGGAAAGGAGGTGGATGATGTTTTTTTAACAGTAAAGAGCTATCGCCACACAGATGGAATAGAGAGGATGCCGCTTGCAAACACTTTATTTGTTCTGTGTCACCTGAACATACTCTACCTCAGCCTAATAAGCGCCTGCTCTGTCCCCTTCCTTCCTACGGTTTCTCTCTAGGCCTTTGGGCTGCCCACCACTGTTGCCCACGTGGATGGTAAAACCTACATGTTATTTGGCTCTGACCGCATGGAGCTACTGGCTTACCTGCTGGGTAAGTTCAGGTTTCCATTCTCTTCAGCTTTCCACCCCAACCCAACTTGACCCATTAGGTCAGATGACCATAACAACAGAAGCTACTGGTATCTCCAACAAGGAAGTCTTGTACACTTGGTGCTGGTCAAGCTTAAATGGGGGTGGAAAGTCTTCCCCCCATAGGGTAGAAGGAAGCCTTGGAGCCAAGAGGGTTCTAGAAGGTCCTAGGGCTCTTTGGGACCGTCTCCAGGTGCTAACACATCTGAGAACCATGTGGACACCTGTGATTTTCTTTACCTAGGAGAGAAGTGGATGGGCCCTGTGCCCCCAGCCCAGCGTGCCAGACTTTAAGATCGCCTTAGGAAGTAAACTTGGGAGTCCTCTGTTTGACAGAGCTGTCTTCTGTGGCTGGCCCTATGGGCTGAAGCAGAGGTCTGCCTCAGCTGTTCCTGCCTCTCCTTCAGTGCCTCACAAGTGTCTTTTGGAAAGCCTAAAGTCATAAAATAAACCTGATGCCACCAGACAGAACATTTCTGGGCCCGTGTCTGCCTGGCCGGTGTTGGTATACCACATCCTGTGCTCACCGGCTGCCCAGCCCACAGGTCGGGTAAGAAGAGCTCTTTCTGGATTCTCGGCCTTCCTGACTTCCCAGCGCGCCGTGGGGCAGATGCAGGACACAGAGCTGCCTTCCTCTTACTCAAAAAAAGTTGTCTGTCTGTCGGAGACAGAAGACTAAACTTGGTAGGCTTAGCAAGGAATCGTCGTTTGGCATTAGCTGTCTCTGAGCAGCCAGGAGCATTGAGGGAGGAGTATGACCAGGAGCCCTATGATAGCGGACACTGGAGGAAAGCCACCAACAGTCCAGCTGTGCTCAGATTTGTAATGTGAGTCCAGCGGCACCGGCCAGCAGACACTGGCCTTGCCGCTGACCTGGTCAGGCAGAATTTCTCTGTGTGGCCCTGGCTGTTCTGGAACTTCCTCCGTGAGCCAGGCTGACCTCGAACTCAGAGAAATCCGCCTGCCTCTGCCCACTGGGTGCTGAGGTTAAAGGGGTACGCCACCGTGACCTGCCTCGAGCCCTTTAATCACTCATAATTCCCTGAGACCCTGAGAACACACCAGGCCACTGCTACAACGCCTGCTCCCTCCTACGAATCTTCAGCTTTCCCATCCCTCCCTCCCTCTGGCCAGTTTTTGGTTGTTTTGGTTTTGGTTTTTCAAGACAGGGTTTCTCTGTACCTTTTGGAGCCTGTCCTGGGTCCTGGAACTTGCTCTGTAGTCCACCCCAGCCTTGAACTCACAGAGTTCCTGAGTGCTGGGATTAAAGACGTGGGCCACCACTGCCTAGCACCTCTGTCCAATTATCTACCTTAATCCCCACTTACGTTTATTTCGATAATCAGGAACTTATTTTGATGTCATACTGACTTATGTGGTGACACTGTTCAAACACAGGGCCCTCTGGGCCAGCTTTAAATCAGGCTTTATGCCAGCTTCTTTTTCTCTGTCCCTCCGGTTTTCTCTGTTTATACCCCATTTTCCCTCTGGAGACCCTATTACTTCTGTTGTTGTTGTTTTGGTTTTTTGAGACAGGGTTTCTTTGTGGCTTTGGAGGCTGTCCTAGAACTAGCTCTGGTAGACGAGGATGGTCTCGAACTCACAGAGATCCACCTGCCTCTGCCTCCCTGGTGCTGGGACTAAAGGCATGCACCACCACCGCCCCGGCATGAGATCCTATTACTTTCATCTTCATGATCACTGCATCTTCTGGGATCTAAAGTCATCCTTACATAGATTCACTGTGTTGTAAAGCCAGAAAAGTACATCTCAAAGGGACTATTCCCTTCTGCAAAGGGGTCTTAGCGTATATACAGCTCACGTAAAATAAGAAGTGTGACGACCCCCAGTGTTTACAAACATAAGGCCAAGTTAAAACAATGAGAAGCTTTGCATACTTTAGAGTTACCCAGGCAATAGTGAGTGTAGAGCTTTAGGGATACAGATTCGTGACTCTGCACCGTCTTCTCATTTAAACGCTGTGGCTAGCCAGTGAGATGGCCCACTGGTAAAGGTGCTAACTGCCAAGCCTGATGACCTAAGAGATGCATACTTAGAACCTTCCTAGTGAAAAGAGAAAACTGACTCTTAAAAGTTGTCTCTGAACCACACACACACACAATAAGCACCATGGCATACATGTGCCTACACACATACAAACACAAATAAATGTAGTTTAGTTTTTTTTTTTAATTTTAAAAGCATACTTTATGCATAGTAAAGGTTTACATATTAAATAACACAAGAGAATAATTTAATATCAGCCTGGCGCTGGTGGCGCAAGCCTTTAATCCCAGCACTCAGGAGGTGGAGGCAGGTGGATCTCTATAAGTTCGAGGCCAGCCTGGTCTACAGAGCTAGTTCCAGGACACCCCAAGGCTACACAGAGAAACCCTGTCTCAAAAAAGACAAAACAAAACAAACAAAAACAAAAAAGAATAATTTATTATCATCTTAAGCAAAAGAAAAAAATCAAGAAATTTCTGTTTACAGAACCTCTCACTTTAAGATTACTTACAGGGCCAAGGTTTCCTGATATGGCTGGCAGGAAATTAAGCCAGGCTTGGGTCAGAGGGATCACAGCTAGACTCAGGCTGTGACAATTTTCATCGAGCGCCATCGGACTTTTTATTCCCTTGTTATCAGAAACAGAATATGGTTGCAATTGCCAGAGTCAATGCAGTTTTAGTTGCCAGGATACAATGGTGTTTGCAAGGTATACAGGGTACACAAGATTAATGTTAACACCAATTGTCCTGTCGAGCTTCCATGCTTTCTTGACTTCTGAGGGAACATTCAGAGAAACAAACGGTGGCCTGAACACTTCACTGCCTGACGAGCACCCCTGTTTCTCAGGAACTGAAAGGTGCACGGTGTCCCAGGAGCCATGGACTCTAGCCTGAAAAATCTATGATGCAAGCCTCTCAAGGCAGCTGGGCCAGGCCAACCTCAGGATTCCCTACCCCGTGCCTCAAAGTATCTTTTAATCACTTGTCCTAAGTGGGTCAGTGTGACAAATGCATTCAGTGCCCAGGCATGTCTGGTTCCTATTGCACTAGTGATCAACAGGATTAAAAAGAAAGCCTAATGCAGGTAATAAGGTCTAGGACACAATACAGGCTGATTGAGGTTTTATTGGGGGAGAATTCACTTACACAAGGAAAGACAACCAACGCCGAGGATTCCCGCTCTGTCTCCGGCCCGGAAGTAGGAAGTAAGTGTAGTGCATCCGGGTCAGATCCAGACCTAGACTCCACTGGTCACGCCCACACCTGCCCCCACGCCCCAGTGGGGTGGGGCGAACATCTCACTACAATTCCCCTTTTAGTCTAAAGAAAAGATTTAGGCTTGATACATAACTATATACAAGGACGGTAAATATCAAATATGCTCTAGGAGAAGGAAAAGTAAGAACGTACACACTTAAGGCCTATTATTGCCAGTGAGGTAACAAGGGCAGATGGCAAGAACTACATATCCAGTCCTAGAGTGAAGGCATAACAGAGATCACTATAGAGTTGTCCTAAGCTGGAAAGTTTAAGTCTTGTACCTAATATTTCTATCTAGGAAGAGCGAGCAATAATTGTGAGTCTAATCTTCGACCTCATCAATGACCTGAGAAGGAAGATAACAATACTAGGGTAGGCAGAAAGTGCAGGCGAGCTTCCAAAAGGTGCAGCGAAGACAGAAACAGCAGGCTACCTGGACATTCACCCAAATCTCACAGCAACCAGCTTTGGCTAATGCCTAGAGTGTCTGACTGGCCACTACAGAGGCAGGGAGGTAGAGAGGCTGCCTTACCCTGACTTAGCAAGGTTCGGCAGTCTTCTATGTTTGTCTCCCGCAAGCACAGTAGGACAGCATTGTCCAAACTCAGCAGTTGAAGTGGGGGTGGTTCTTCGCCCAAGAGGCCATCAGCCGAGGAGAGGATGGACTCCAGGAATGACATCGGTGCCCAACGTTTTCTCGGGAATGGTTGCAGTCCGTGGTGGAAGGGAGATGTAGCAGCAGGCAGCCAGAGCGGTAAACCGAGGCCATCCAACGGCACACGGGAAGCATAGGGTACAAAGGAGGAATGGGGTGAGGTTATCAGCCCTCAAAGCTCAACTGTGTGATGTATTTCAGCCGGCCCGGCAAGGCTGCATCTCCTCCTATGCCAGGGTCTATATACGTGGATCTTTCTGCATTCGGATCATCCTGCTTAATGTATTCGCCCGGTCCTTCCGTTTTCCTGAAAATTTCATGATTTTATTTATTTGTTTTTCTTTATGGCTAAATAATATTGTGTACTGTGTATGGTACCACATTTAGGATGGTTCCAGTTTCTGTCTGTTGTGAATATAGGATTAATAAGCATGGATGTGCAGTTTCTCCGCAGTAGGATAGAGAAGCTTTTGGGTATATGCCCAGGAGTGGTATAACTGGATCATATATGGCAGTTCTGTTTTTAATTTTCTGAGAAATCGCCAAACTGGTTCTCATAATGATGTGTTAATCTGCGCTTCCCCCCAGCCAAGAGTGAAGGGTCCTATTTTCCCCACCCTTTCCAACATCTGTCAGGTTTCTTGACCAGAGTGGTGGCGCCTGATTTTAGAGTAGTCTTAATTTACATATCCCTGATGACTAGAGGTACTGAACACTTAAAACAAACTGGCCATTTGTGTTTCTTCTTTCGAGAACTAGCCATTCAAATTAGCCCATTTCTCGATTGGCAATTCTGTTTTATTGGTGTTAATTTTTTGGAAATCGTTGTAAAATTCTGGTTATTAGCTTCCATTCTTAAGTAAACAATTTTTTTCCTCCCCATCCTGTGGGCTGTCTGCTTGCTCTGCTGATCATTTCTTTTGCTACACAGAAATTCTTAAGTTTCATGTAGTCCCATATGTTGATTCTCGGGCTAAGCTGTTGGAATTCTGTTCAGGAAGTCCCTGACTACGCCAATATCTTCAGTATTCCCTATGGTTTTCCTCTGGAAATCACAGAGTTCTAGGCTGTTGGGGCACACAACTGTAATCACAGCACATCAGAGGCTAGAGACAACAGGATTGTACGTTTGAGACTCCTCTAGTCTATATAGTATGAAACTGCTATAAGGAAAGGAGAGAGGATGGATGGATGGATGGGTGGATGGATGGATGGGTGGATGGATGGATGGATGGGTGGGTGGATGGATGGATGGATGGGTGGATGGATGGATGGATGGATGGATGGGTGGATGGATGGATGGGTGGATGGATGAGTGGGTAGGTGGATGGATGAGTGGATGGATGGATGGGTGGATGGATGGATGAGTGGATGGATGGGAGGATGAGTGGATGGGTGGGTGGATGGATGGGTGGGTGGGTGGATGGATAGGTGGGTGGATGGATGGATGGGAGGATGAGTGGATGAGTAGATGGATGGATGGGTGGATGGATGGATGGGTGGGTGGATGGATGGGTGGGTGGATGGATGGGTGGGTGGATGGATGGGT